CCACCATATATCATCGCTGCTCTCACACATGCTTTATATACCCTCCCTTTCATCTTCACTGACCATTTCTTTCCACACAATACCCCACCCAGTTCCCTAAATTTCATCCATCCTACACGAACTCTAGCCGTAACTGCGCTCAAACATCCTCCATCCGCATTCAGCTTATCCCCTAAGTAAACAAAGCTTTCCACTCTTTCAATACCATCACTCAACCCCGTCCTTGCGTCCGTCCTATTAATCACACCATGAACACATTTCTTACATTTGAACGTGCCTTCCACCTTTTTCAGTGCCCCCCTCACACCACTACATCTCTTATGCACCTATTTCTGACATCCTATACACAATACCGAGTTAGCCTTCACTCTCCTATCACATACCCCACAGGGGTCTATTTTACTTATCACTCGTTCCCCACCTTCCCCACTCACCATTACCTTCGTCTTACCAATATTAACTTTTAACCCTTTCTTTTCAATAACACTTTTCCATCTGTCAAATTTTAACTGCAATTCTTCCATGCTATCAGCCATCAAGACTAAATCATCTGCATACAAAATCTCAAATAACAACCCCTCCATTATGTTTCCACACACAACATCCATCACAATTGCAAACAGAAACGGTGATAACACTGATCCTTGATGCACTCCTACCTTAACACTAAAAGCGTCCGACATCCCCCTTCCAACCCTCACCTTTGTCTTTGCCCCTTCATACAGCTGCATCACAACTTTAACAAGTCTCTCATTCACTCCTTTCTTCCTCAACGCCCATTCAATGACCTTCCTCGGTACTCGATCAAAAGCCTTTTCTAGATCCACAAAACACATGTACAATCTTCGTTTCTTCTTTCTATAATTCTCCTGCAACATTCTCGCCATGAACAACGCATCCACCGTTCCCCTACCAGGCATAAACCCACACTGCATTTCATTAACTGTCACCATACTTCTCAACCTCCTCTCAAGCACCCTCTCCACTACCTTCATTTCGTGCTCTAGTAATTTCACACCCCTGTATGACCCACAATCTCTCACATCTCCTTTGCCCTTATACAACGGCACCAACACACTGTGTCGCCATTATTATCGTAAGTAAGAAGCGTTTAACCCTGTTCTGTAGAACCGCCCAGTGTTTGTTCCAGTGCAGAACTTCTGGTTGGCCATTTTAAACATAATTCATCTATATTCTGAGTCGAGTCTGATTTCAGGCACAGAATTCTTATGTCCTCCGACACAACCTCCTCCTGGGTGCACTTGGCTTTATAATTTTTTCATTATACTGTCATAGAAGTTCTGCCTTTTTTCACCCAGTTCTCATCTGCTTTCCTCTCTACATGACCAAACCAACGCAGTCTAATACCTCTAATTACATCCAACAACTCATCCATTTTTAGCTCTTTTATAATACCTCATTATTTTGACTTTTTTCAAGAAAGACTCTTTTAACCTTCTCAGCGTCTGCATCTCTGTTCTCTTCAGCCTTCTTAAAAATTTTCAACCGTCCAAGCCCATGTTTCACACTAAAACAACAGCTTCTTATACATGTTTTATATACTTTTCCCTTCACACCCAATGTAATACAACTTTGAAGTTTGTTTCTCAGAATTTTTTCAACCTGTTTTTATCTTATTCTCGAACGCTCTTATTTACCCTCCTCCCTTAGCACATAACTTTAATGACAAAAGAGCGCCAATATATAAATTAAATTAAATATATATTTTTAATATTTTATAACTACATAAACAATCAATTTTTGTTTGTGATGCTAACCCAACTCTAACCCTAACCTAAATGTCACACACACTCATCTTGTTTTACATTGAGTCCATTTACAAAAAATACAAAAAAATGGTTCAAAATCAAATACTATCTGTTAAAACTCGAAAAATACCACATGTGTGTAATGCGGTGCTTGGCGTGCATATATAATGTTTATGTGCATTATACACAAAAATAGAATGTCATGAACAGTTCAACGTTTGACAGAGCTGCATATAAAATAAATAAAAAAGGAAATATTCAAAATCACATGCATTTCTAAAAACAAACAAAGCAACAACAAAACTTTTTTTAAATACATATGTATAAATAAATGAAAAAAAAACAAAAAAATGTTTAGATATTTAATATTTGGACACCTAGATAGAATCTTAACTTTGGGTTAAATAAAGTATTTGATTAATTTTATGATAAAATGTTTATAAACTCTTTTTCCAAACTGGAATTGTTATACAAAACATCATTTTTAGTATTAATATTCCACTTTTACATGCGGTATGATTTTTGGAATTACGTGCACCTGCACACAATTACTTAACTCATGGGAGGTTTATTGCCATCAATGTGTTTTGATAAATCAGCATTTATGTATTTTAATATTGGGAGGTACTTGAACTTAGTGTTATTAGCTTTAAAGCATTTGCATTGTTTCGTAGTAGCCTGCTACCACTATAATCGCCTGATTATTCCCCCTAAGCTACAATGGAGAGAATACTTCAATTCTTGGGGAAACAAAAACTTTGGGAGAACTGGGTCTCTGGACGCTAAACGAAGAGTGATTGATTATTCATTACATTTGTTAACAAAATTTGAGTTTTAACAAAATGTTTCTTTGCATATCTCTTACAAAAAATTTTAAATTCAATAACACAAAGCATAACTATTCAATCTTTGCATGCATCCCATCAGAGGCAATTTTTCACCATCTGATAGCAGAAAAATTTTAAATACTCAATAAACTTTGATATTAATAACACTTCTGGCAAAATAATTGTTGTGTGAGAGCCAAATGTCTGGAATTCTGTTCTTCAAACAATAAATGAAAAAATAATAATACCTGATTACAATCTAACCTCATTGCCAGCCAATCTTGTGAGCAATTCAAACCTCTCTGCTCCAACTGAATGTCCTAGACTGTCAGGCATTGATATTTTGTCGGAAACTTGCAAAAATTAATTAATTACCATTTAATTTCCAATCAGTTTCAAGATTTTTACCACCATAGAATATTTTATGAGTATTAACACCGGCACTGACTTTCAGAGTATTTGAAAGTGTCAGTACAAAAAACATATATAAAAAGCTACATAAATAACATATAGGCTATATTAAAGCTTATTCAAGACTTAGACTTGCTACACCCAGTAAAATCAGACTTTTTTCAGGTCATGCAACTTCATTTAACGACTGCATAAAGCAAGCGATCGTTATTGCTTGTCCAATTTATGGCATCATTTGTCTCACAAATACTGCTTTTTAACTGAGAAGATAAAATACCATGAAACACTGAATAATTCATTTCTTGTTGAAATGCTGATGACTGTAGGCATAATCCGCTTTAAGTGAAATTACATTTTCAACTGTTAAATTAACATTTTGTGTTACACATTTTGTAATACATTTAATATTTTATAATTTTTAAAAGTTTTATTGGTTTTTTTATCGAAAATTTGTTTAATGCTTTTTGGATTTTTTTTGTTTTTGCAGTTGTGTTAATTTTTTTATTAATAAATACATTGAATTAGATTTAGAAATTGAAATGAACTTTCATCTGAGAGCGTTTGCGTTATCAACTATATAATCTATTATGTAACGCTTTTTGATCTAAATCTAATTTAAATTTTAACTAAATTTTTTCAGGTTATGTGAAATAATACAGCTCAATTAATATGCTTAATTCAAAACTCAATGATTCAGTTATAACTTAAACCTCAATGTGATCAATACATTACAACTACAAATTACCAGCACAAAAATTACATTTCTACCATGTATTATTTTTTAACTTAGGTTAAAATAAAACTGGAAAAAAATAGAAAATTTTAAAAATATATTTTGAAAATACAGCTTTACTTTACCAAGTGTGACTTAGTTATCATTATTTAGTTTGATAATTAGTTGCACCATGGGATAATTGTAAAAATGAATAATGCTGTAAAACCCAGGACTGGTCATCGGTTTTGCATAAAACTAATGTAGTTTAATTTTAAAGGTTTAAACTTTTTTGTTTCTAAATTTTGAAAAAATATTTCGAGAATACAGCTTCACTTTACCTAGTTGTGGGAGATTTATGTTTTTTTAAAAACCCAAACCTATAAAAATATAATTAGGAATTGCTAAAAAAACTCAGAGTTGAATTCCAGTTTTCCCTTAACCCACTGCATTCTGTGCCAATTAATATAATGATTAACCAATTAATTTAAGACATTAATGATTATTAATTGCATTATTAATCTAATCAGTTGACCATTACTTTACCAAGTGTGACATAGTCATCATTATTTAGTTTGACAATTAGTAGCATCATGGGATAATTGTAAAAATGAATAATGCTGTAAAACCAATCTATATTATTTCACATGACCTGAAAAAATTTAATTAAAATTAAATGAAATTAGAAGATTTAATTTAATTAATATTCCAATGCTAATCAATTGACCAGTTAATTAATTCAATTGGTTACTTAATACTTAATAGTAAACATTTTCTTTGTCTAACAAAACTGCAAATTCCCGACAGAAGTGATAACATAACAGGAACAATAAAGTGATAAAATATTTAAATTTAATTTAATAAACTCATAATTCATTTCAACAGGAAATGTCATCTCAGAGATGACATTGAAATTTAATAATCACATCAAAATCGAATGAATTGTACCAATTTTTCCTTTCAGGGGATCTACATCTGTTCCGTGACTCGTAGAAGACATCCTAGCAAAGAGACTCGCGACATTTTTATTTATCCTCAGTTTATGAGGAACCGACCTCAAAATAACAGAAGCCATGCGAAGTATTTGTTATCGAACCGACCAAAAACACTATATATAACGCGAGTCAAGTGAAAAGAAATTAATTAGCTGGTCGCGTTCTTTACGCTGATTACACTTTTATCATGTTTTGTACGTGTTATTTTTAAGAATAGTTTACAATATGTAGAATATAATATTTAACAAATTACAAAGTAATGTTAATAAAATTATTTCTAGAGCGTCATTTCCGTGATGTTCAACACATTGAGGTATATTGTGGCAAATCTAGGGGGCCCAAAGAGACCAGTGCCCTCGCGTTGTGAACTGTATTTTTATTAAAAATCAGCAAAACTCATTGTTTCACAAAAAAAACACCGCTTTATGTAATAGAAAATCTTCCAAAAATTTACGTGGTAAGAAGAAAAGGTCGCCAGCGTAATTTTTACCACACTGCCACAAACGTTGGTCCCACCATCAAAAACAGTCAAATAGTAAACTATTTCAAAATTTTTGCCCCCCTGTCGAAGTTGTCTTGACTTACCACTGAAAGTATATGCATATTTTGCTAGTTCAAAAGCATATACTTAAAATACCTGTACAAGCCCTCGAACGCACCCGCGCCCATTTTCTGTTCGCTTTTGAGTCTGGTCTCATTCTTTAGTTTACATAAAGATAAACAATTATTCAATATTTGTCACTTTTTGTATTTGTTGTGGGTGTGTTTTGATTTGTTTTTTTTTTGTTATTTGTTTTGCACTTGAGTTTGAGATGACTACAACAAGGGAAAAAAGTGGTAGAGGGAATAAAACGGTGTTGGTAAAAGAGGTGACTTGCGTTGTTTGTATGTTATGGTTCATTTCCGTATAAAACCGTTGGACATACTGATGAATTTATGGGAAAAGTTAGTGAGATTCCAAACTTCAGCTGGAGCTGTGATGATTGTCTGGTTCACGTTAAGAATTTAAATTAAATGTATACAAAGAGTTGAATGCTAAGAAGAGGGAAATGAAGAAGGAACTGGTTGGTTTAATTAATTAAAAGATAAAAATAATGAGACGGTGAAGGAAATTTCAACCTTATCTGATAAAAATGAGAAAAATTTTTTAGCACTGCAAAGTGCAATTGCTGACATGTCTAAAGATTTAAAAGCTTCTCTCAATAAAAGTTGGGCTGAAGTTGCAGATGAGATGAAAAACAAAGTACGGGAGGTTAATGGAGAGGTGTCAACAATTAGTAAGACTATTGAAAAAACAAGTGATGGTATTAAAATTAATAAGGATTTGAAAGAGAGAATGCATAACATTATTATATATCACCTGGAGGAATGTAAAGACAATGATAAGGTTATTTGCAACAGCCATGATAGAAAGCAGATTTTAGAGATATGTTCTCAATTATCTGATGGTTACATTAAAGAAAGCAGCATAAAGTTTATTTTTGGACTGTTGTGTAAGAAGTGATAAGGTTAGACCAGTCATGGTTAAATTTTATGACAAAAGAGATAGAAATATTATCATGGAAAACCTTAAGAAAATTAAAGGATTGAGCAGAAGTTTGAGGTGCATTGTAGTTAATTATGACCAGTGGCGGATTAACGCACAGGCACCGGCCTGGGGCGGCAAATTTTGAAAACTAGTTATTTAAGAATGTTCAAGTTGAATAAAAAAATTATTGAAGTTGATACTTTACTCAAAAATTATGGTGTTCAAGTTTATATAATTTAAAACTTTAAAAAATCGATTAACAGTTGCCGTTCGTTCTAATCATATATTTAAAATACATGTATCGGAACATATAGCCGATAATTGTCATTCAAAAAAATCGTACTTTTATCACTGGAACAATAATTAATCAGAGGACGAATGACTACAAGTGGCGCTAAATTGTAACAATATGTACGAATACTGTTTTTTTTCATGGTCGCGTTTTTCACAATAATTGTATACACAGCTACAAAAATTTGAACGCAGTTAATTATGTTAACTGTTCACTAATAATGACCCAACAAACTCAAACATAACGGCAACAATGAAAAACGTAAAACTAAATAATTTCTAGCGATCAAAAAAATTACTTTATTAGTGCCTGTTATTTTACAAAAGTTTTTGTTAATGAGTTTGATGAGCTTGTATTATGATTTATTTGATTACTAAACGTTAATTATTAATCTAAAGATAAAGGTACAACTTTTAAGTAAAGGTACGTAGTATATGTGGGCGATAATATTTTCTTTCCAATAGCCTATATGTAATTTTAATTATGTGGATGTGTTTCGATCATTGAATTAGATAGACCCTTTTTTAAATTCGCCATCTTGTCTTGTCGTGTTAAGGCCATATTTGTAGTTTCATAAAAAGAGCTAAAATGAGCGATGGTAGAAAAAGATTAAGTGGGAGTCAATATGCAAAATTGCGAAAAGACAAAGAATTGAAAAACAATACGGACTTGGATAGAATGAAGAAGAAAATCAACAAGTTTTTTCAGTCGGCGGTCAGTGGAAGTGGAGATCAATTGGAAGAACGAAATGATACTGAAGATAAGTTAGTCGATGCGTTTTTCATTAGTGCAAGACATTTCTTTGAAAATATTGTTTTTAAAAATTGATTTAGCTAAAATTTCGCATACAAATAATATTGCTGTCTATCTATAGGTCCAGTTTAGCATGTAACAAAGAGAGATCATTCACGGTTGAAGGATCTAAGACTGAGACAAATGATAGATCAAATGTCTCAGATGATGATGGGTTTGTTTGTCTTTTTTAAAAATCTAAATAAGAAATAATGAAACATTTTGGTTAAATTACTTCATCTGAATAAATATCTTTCTTGTATAGGGCCTCCATGGAGATATTAACAAAATTGTCTGATGAATGTCTCTCAGAAAATGTGGAACAATGTTTCCGTTTATCTGATGAGTAGTAAGTATGGCAAGTAAATAATGAAACGCGCGATTTTGTGGCCAAATATGGCTTCAATCGAAATGAAAATATAGACTTTAGTAAATCCAAAAAGGAGTACAGTGATGACAAAATACGCAGCCTCACACAAAGTATGTTTGACTATACTCTTATAAACAGAAAAAATGTCGCGAGAATGGCTTATTTACTCAGAAAGCACTGGAGCTGTATTTTGTGGAATTTGTTTTGTTTTTAAAGAAATCGAATGTACAAACAAAATTAACATCAGAAGGTTTTAATGATTGGAAGAATGCTTATAATGCGCTGAAAAAACATGAAAATTCATTATATCATAGAGACTGCGTACATGCCTGCAAAACGAGAGGTCGTGCTATAGGTCAAATAAACTCGCAGTTAAATGATCAATTGGAAACTGAGATAAATTAATGGAAATCGACTCTTGTTCGCGTGGTAGAAGTTGTAAAGACATTGGTTTCAAGAGGACTCCCTTTGCGTGGACACGTTGAAAAATTTGGAAATTCTGAAAGTGGGAACTACATGATGCTGCTTGAACTTATTGCTAAATTTGATTCTTTTATGGCGCATCATATAGAAAGATTTGGCAAATGTGGCAAAGGTAATGCATCTTATCTGTCATCAACAACTGTAGAAGAGTTAGTAGCAATATTGACAAATGCTGTACACGACGAACTCGTCTACCAAATCAAAATTAGCAAATATTTTTTAATAATTGTTGATTCAACGCCTGACATAGCAAAAGTTGATCAACTTTCCGTTGTAATCAGATATGTTCAAAAAAGCGGAACGCCTTACGAAGCGTTTTTAGCGTTTCTACCAAACACTGGCCACAAATCGCAAGAACTATTTAACGCTGTAATTTGTTTTTTACAATCACACAACCTGGATTTTCAAAACTGTCGCGGACAATCTTACGACAACGCTTCAAATATAGCTGGCAAGTATTCAGGACTTCAGGCGCGAATCAAGGAAGTCAATTATCAAGTTTCATTTATACCATGCTCAGCTCACTCACTTAACCTTGTTGGCACAAATGCAGCTGAATCCTGTGCAAAAGCTTGCAATTTTTTTTGGTTGATCCAACATGTTTACAACTTTTTCAGTGTTTCTACTGCCAGATGGGAAGTTCTCCAAAACCACACACAGCAGAAATCTAGTTCACTTAATTTGAAAAGTCTCTCCACTAAATTCTGAAATGAACAAGAGACGAAACGCTCATGTAGAAATAAATGAAAATTTCAAAGCAATTTTACAGTTCAAAACATTGTCAATGGGTGAGTTAGAGATTGCAGCGGATGGATTAAGATCTTTATTTCCAAACGATCTAGACGACACCTTAAATATTGAACTCTTGCATTTAAAGTCTCATTTGGCTACTTTAGACCGAAATGCAGTTGCACACACTCCAATTGATTTGTGTAAATGGATAAGATTGAATGACTTGCAGTGTGTATATTCAAATGTAGACATTGCACTTCGGATGTACACTTGTACTCCTGCTACAAACTGTTCGGCCAAGCGATCTTTTTCTTGTTTAAAGCGCGTTAAAAACTATTTGCGTTCGACAATGTCCGAAGAAAGGTTAAATTATCTTGCAATTCTATGCATCGAAAAAACAATTTTGCAAGATTTAGACGTTAATTTCGTCATTGATGAATTAGCGTGCAGGAAGGCACGTCGTAAAGTTTTGAAATAACTATTATAAACTGCAATGAAAGAAAATTTATTTTTTAAAATTGATAATATTACATTACATGAATATTATTAAAGAATGTACTTAATAAAAATGTTTTAAAAATATTGCGTTTTTATGAATTTAATTTCTAAATTTATTATAAAATTTAAAATTGGGGCGGCAAACCACGAGTGCCTCTAGACGGCAAAAAGGTTAATCCGCCACTGATTATGACCTAAACAAAGAGCAGCGGGAGAAAAGGAAAGAGTTGGTCATAGAAGCTAAAAAGTTGCAAGCTGATAGTTAGATAGTTAGGGAAATTTCAGTTTCGGGTATGGGGAACTCCCACAAATATGAGATTTGTAAAAATAAAAATTATTTAAGTTTGGTAGGTGTTAATGTTAATATTTATTATTCAAATGTGGATTTTATTACAAACAAAATGAATGAAATTAAATTTTTGTTGGATGGTTGTAATAATTTGAGTGATATTATTGTTTTTACTGAGACAAATGCTAAACATATTATTCATAGTTATTCAGAAAATGAATTTTATTTAAAAGGTTGCAAACTTTACACAGCAAGTTTCATGAAAGCAAGTTATAGGGGGATTTTCTGCCACCATAAGACTGAAATAAAATCACATATGGTGAATATGGGTATTGACTTTAAAGAATTTTTATGCATCATGTTTTATGGACTTTTTAACTATTTTCACATTCTTGTCATTTATAGAAGTCCTAATTCAATTAAATTTAATAATGATAATTTACTAAATCTTTTACAGGCTTTCATGGCAATTGGTGGTTGTATAAATAATAGTGGGAGACTTCCAACCATTGATTGGAAGTATTGTTTAACTATTGGTTCAAGCAAGTCCATTGAGACAAGATTTTTAAATATAATTAAGGATTATTTTATTTTTCAAATGGTTGACATGCCAACAAGAGCTATAGAATACATGTTAAAAAGTTCCATAAAAATACAAGAAAGTATTCGTTTTCTAACAGAGTGATCTCTATATAGACATGTGTTGTTGAATCAGATACTGTTTCTAACTTCAAGAAGAATTTTGACTTATATATGGCCAACAAAGATTTTCTCTATGATCATAAAATTGACATTGTTGTTTGATTGCTTTTTGTTGTCATTTAATGCTATTTTGATATGGGCATATCAATCAATCAATCAATTAGCTTATAAAGCGCTATTTCCGCGATGTTCAACAGCGCTCCTCAATGAATTTTGAAAACAGATGGGTCTTGAGATCCGCTCTGAACTTCGCAAGTGATGGAGAGGTAGTCAGAGAAGTAGGTAAAGAGTTCCAGAGAAAAGGACCAGAAAAAGCAAAAGCAGATTTGGCAAAAGAGTGTTTAACACGAGTTAAGAAAAAACGAGAAGAAGAAGACGATCGTAAACCGGGGCGTTTAGGTTCAATTAATATATCTGATAAATACTTAGGAAATAATTTAGATTGAGACTTATACATGAACGTGCAAATTTACATGAACGTGCAAATTTTAAAAATTATTCTATATTTTATAGGTAGCCAGTGCAAGAGAACAAGATATGGAGATATATGAGAAAAGAAAGGGGCACGAGCAACTAGACGAGCAGCAGAGTTAAAAGCTTTACTTAAAGGATAGAGTATAGTCAGGAAGACCATAGTAGAGCGAGTTACAATAATCAATCCTAGATAAGACTAACGAAGTAACAAGAAGGAGAAGAGTAGGATCATCAAGAAAAGGCAGAAGTTTTTTTATTCTACGTAGATGAAAGTAAGAGCTTCTAGCAACACTATTAATCTGAGAAGAGAGAGACATTGTAGAATCAAAGATAAAACCTAGACT